TTTGAATTAAAGTCATGTATTGATTATCGAATTCCTTAATTCTGTCAATAGTGTGCTTATCCATCTTCAATCCTTTGATTATGACCTAGATAATTGTACGTTGTTTGCAACTTTTGAAATTGTCAGGTGAAAGGACCTTCTAGTAATCAGATTCAAGATTCTCATGACATGATCAGTGAGAAATTTCTACATTATAGTTTTTGATGTCTTTTATGATAATGAACTGCACATTCTAGTTTTTTGAGCATATACATGAGTATGGACATCCGTAACAATTGATATATATCTATTTCTCCTCAAGTAGGGTCATTACTGAACTTAAACCAGCTGGAATTATCTTTCAAGCTTATTGGTCGGGACTGTTTTGGTTCATTTTAATCCCAATTCGGTATCAATTTGGGTGTAAATTTATCGGATGGCTGAATTAGAGGTAATTCTTTGCTCATACTATGTGAAATATATTTTTCTTAAACGACCGTGTTGATAATTTTTTGTTCTTTAAGTTGCAGCAGGAAACTTCCCATCTTGCACACGGAATGCGTGATATGGAAAAAGATTATGAGTTTGCGTTAGGAATGGTTTTTCCAAATGAACTTGAAGCTTACCATAAGTATGTGGCCTATGCAATCGGCAAAGGATTTGGGATGAGAAAGGGTAATATGTTTAAAAATGGTAAAGGAGGATTAACCCGACGAACTTTTGTGTGCAATTGTGAGGGGCATTCTGTCAGCTCATTTGATGAAGAAAAGAAATTTGAGAGGTATGAAGTTAGATGTGGCTGTCCTGCTCGTATCAAATTTAAGGTCAACAATGGTGTTTATGAAGTCATGAAGTATATTTCTGAGCATAATCATGCATTTATTCCGGATGATCAAAAGCATTTGATTAGATGTGGAAGAATCATGTCTGATACTTCTAAGAGTGTCCTAGTTGATATGAGGAAAGCTGGCATCGGGGGGACTACGGCGTATAAGTTTTAGCAAACGAAGCAGGAGGAAGCAAAGACTTGGGTTTTAACCTGCGTGATTGTCAAAATTATTTGCAAACAAAAAGATCCGATGGTATAAATGGGGCAGATTGTCAAAGTGTTCTAAATCATTTTCATTTCATGCAAATGCAAAATCCAATGTTTTCATATGCTGTACAGGTAGATCAAGATGGTAGATTGAGAAATTTATTTTGGAGAGATAGCATGTCGAGATTTGATTATGACTGCTTTGGTGATGTGCTAGTGTTTGATACCACGTATCATATCAACAAATATAACATGATATGTGCACCATTTGTTGGGATTAATCACTATTGTAAGAATGTTTTGTTCGGTTGTGCTTTTTTGTTGGACGAGACTGCAGAATCATTTATATAGTTATTTGAGGCTTTTTTTAAGTCTATGGGAAATAAGGCTCCGAAAACCATATTCACTGATCAAGACCAAGCTATGGCAAAAGCCATTCGAACGGTCTTTCCGAATACACAACACCGTTTATGTACTTGGCACATTGGGAAAAATACCAACCAATACATCCCACATCTTTATCATAAGTCGGGTTTTAAGGATGCATATTTCTTAACACTTATGTATAGATGTACATCAGAGGAAGAATTTGAATTTACTTGGAGGGAAATGGAAAAGGAGTGGGATACTGCGAATAACACTTGGCTTCGGAGATTATACGACATTAGACACAAATGGAGTTCAACTTTTGGTCGTGACATTTTTACTTGTGGTATAAGATCCAGTCAAAGGAGTGAGAGCACCAATAATGTCTTCCAACGTATGTCAACGAAGACATTGACTTTTGTAGAGTTTGTCCACCATTATGAAGAACAAGTGAAGCACATGAGAGAAATTGAAACTCAAGATGATTACAATAGTCGAGGGGATCCCAAATTGGCGATTTTGGGTAATGACATCTTGTCTCGGATCCCAAATCGGTTTTACGAGATCATCGACGAGTTTAGCCACATTGTTTGGTTTTGGGGTATTTCCACGTAAGTGGTACTATTTCTTACATAAATTTACAAACTCATATTTTGAAAATGGTAGAATTTTAATATAATATGAGTTATTAAGAGCATGTTTTTTGCATAAATCGGATCAAACTTTTACTACATTTTTAGTTGATTGAACATGGATTGAGAATGTTTTATGAAGTGGTCTAAAATGACCAATTGTGAATGCTTTGGTTAAATGTTTTGTGAAAGGAATTGTAAAAGCTGTACGTATTGATTACGAAATGTTTTATGAAATGCATTCTAACTAATAAATGGAATTATGAAAGATTATGTGATTTAATTTGTAAAACCAGTTTATGAAATAACTTTTTGGTGTTGATTGTGCGTTGGAGAAATGTTTTGGTTGATATGGCTCACATCGCTATGATGAGAATCCATTGAGGGAGAAGTATGCATACTGTCAGGACGTCCTTATGAGCCGAACTGCCGGCTGATGTAGGTGGTAGACCTAGCTAAAGGGGGGTAAACTTGATCCCTTTTGTCACAGTGTTAAACATGATCGTAGTTTGATGATGAGCATTAGATTAGCTGATGGAATGGACCATCGATGTGTGATTAGTGAGATTAATCAATAGAATAGACCATTGATGATTATTTGTTAGTGTTGAGTATGTTTTGATGACTGATCTTGTACGTATAGAGTTTTGTTGGAAAGTTATCATATATTTTCGATATTTTACGTATATTGTACATTGAATTTGAGATGAGGAGTTATCATATTATTTTGAATGATGTATAGTGAATGTTCGATCCGCTCGGAAGAAATGCATTACTCACCGAGCTGCGGTTGCTCACCCCATTCCTTCTAATCTTTTTCAGGTTCTTCAACTAGCGATGAGTAGTATGAGAGCGATATCCACGGGTCTTTTTGGAGTTCGCTTTTTGGGTGGTTTGAGACTACGTCCTTCGGGTTGAAGTTGGTTGTGTCATCCCCCTTTTCTGCTGGGAATCGGGGTGTCACAACCAACCCCTCTTGGCGATGGTTAGGCGGTGGCGCCAAGGAGGGCAAGCCCTCCCTCCTCGCCTGTCCTCCTCCTCCTTTCTTTTTTTTTATTTATTTATTTATTTATTTATTTATTTAAATTTTAGCTTATTTTTTAAATTTAATTTAAATAAAAGTAGGATTAAAAATCATATTTGGGCCAAAACGACGTCGTTTTAGCCACGTCATCGCCACATAGAAGAGAAAAATATTAAAATAAGCTACGTCAGCGTCACGTCAGTATTTTCCGTTACTAAGTTTGACGATGTTAACTTTAGGACTCATTTGAACCAATTTGACAAGTTTTAGGAATTGATTGCACTTTTTGCAAGTTTTAGGACTCAATTGTACTTTGGTGACAAGTTTTAGGACTTCTAGTGAACATATTCTTATCAAATAATTTGTTCCGTCAAGCTTCACAAAGATCCTAGTGAATGCAATATAATATGTACGGCCATCTCCTGTAGGTGGAGAGTTCACAATTAAACCCTCAGACATTATGCCTTTGATAGTAGAGTGAAATTATCCTCCAAAAAAATCAGCTATATCATATCAAGGGAAGGAAAAAAAATCGATTTTTTTAAGGTTTTGAAAACCTAAAAAAAAATTGATAATTCTAATTCCCCCAAAGAATCTAGAAAACATATGGTGGTCCACGAACTGCAGTGCTTTGGTCTTCACATGAGAGAATTGTAGGCCAATGGCAAGGCATTCAAACAAAAAGATCCAAAAACTCGCAGAAGAGGCTGAACCACTTATCGCAGATTGCAAAGAAGTTTTAGTTTATCTCATAGAGGTGAAGTTATGGGAAAACACTAGATTCAAAGAATCATCTCATTAGTGCCGCCCCACATTGTGAAAGAGAGCAAAGGAGAAGATGAGAAGCAACTACAGTGGGAGAGAGTGAATACGAGAAGAGAGAGAGAGAAAAAAGGTTGCGTAGAGAAAATATTAGGATTAGGGTTTTAGTTCAGATCTAGCTCTAATATCATGTTGAGAGAAAAAACTGAACTAAATGCTTCGTTAGGTCTACGTGACCCCCAAGCCATATATTTATAATAAAGTCAAAATGCCAAAATTATAATATTACATTTATTGTTGCAATACATAAAATAATAAAGGAAATAGACAAATATGCCCCTATTGGCCAAATACTCTCAACAATATAACTCCAAAATATAGATGCGGGGATGGTTCAAGAATCATCCCGGCAGCTGCTATGAGTTACAATACTCAATCGAACCAAATGCGTTCACGGATGACGGCGGCATTTCAATTCTGAACCAACTTGTCTGCTGTACTTGATTGATCGATGAAACCTGTGGTTGCCTGAGCAAGGCCAACCCCAAGTGTCACTAACCACAATGATATAAGTTACCAGATTCATTAAGAGCTTTAATTACTCAACTTCTGTGACTGAAGCTAGCCTCCGTGGGGATCCGGTCAATTTTAAACGCGGTTGTGTCATGGCGATCCACCTCATCCATCGGGGCTGCTTAGCTATGATGATGATAATGTGTTTGGATAGCTAGGCATCATCAGGCAATTTAGAATAAGCACGACTTATCAAAGTACACTTATCATCTTTTGTGTCCCGTTAAGTATCAGTGTACATCTCCTCACTCAGGACATGCATTTATTGTACCTCTCAGGGTGATAATGCAGTGGATCTAGAAAAATCTTTTCACGGGAAGGATATGTGTGAACATTGTATTATGAGCTGTCCACACTCACCAGTAGTGAAAAGATGTGATCACAAAAGAAGCAGAACTTACATGAGTTTTTGACAGGATAACGAGGTATACAAGCCGGTTTAGAAATTCGAAGAAACTACAATTCTAGCGATTACTTTGGCTAGCTGAATCACTTGCAGATCCACAAAGTTGTATGCAATTAAGGGAGTACATACGTTCTCTGTTCCTTCATTTTCAGGATGGAAGCGATGGCAAGAAAAAATGTCTACCCAACTGACACACGCAGATGCCTAACCTTCTTATCGTCGAACATTTTGAACTTCCACATACTGTATCAAATGTATCAGATTTCGAGGCCCAAACCTGGTCCATATGTAACATCTCACAATCCCGCAATTTTGAGAGATTTCAGATTCTTGAAGCTTGCAGGATCAGGCACCTCAACCAATGAATTGCATCCATAGATGCACAAGTCTTCCAGTGAATCTAATGTTCCTTGAATCTCGACAAGAGTATGACACTGCTGTATATCAAGTTTTCTGAGCTTCCTCAAGTTCGAGAGATCAGGCAATCTCTCAAGTAGAGGGAGTTCACCTAGCTTTAGCATTATCAGGTTCTCCAAACCCTCAAAGCTTTGAATCTCACTTAGACTATAACATTGCTGAAGGTGAAGTTCAGTCAGCTTCTTCAAGTTTGATAGATCAGGTAATCTCTCGAGTTGTAGGATCTCCATGAGCTTCAAAATTCTCAGATTTCCCAAGCCTTGAATACTATGAAGATTGCTCAGATTATGACAGTGACCCAAATGCAGTTCATTGAGCTTCTTTAAGTTTGAAAGATCAGGTAATCTTTCAAGTTTATTCAATGCTCTAAGGTCCAAAGTTTGAAGATTCTCCAAACCTTCAAGGCCATCGATATCTGTTATTGCACAAGAATGAATCCTTAGCTCTGATAGTTCCTTCAAATTTGATAGATCTATCGATGTTTCCAGTGATCTAGAGGATTTAATATGCAAGCACAATAAACTTGACGGAAGCCTAGGGAGAAACTGTAGGTTAAAACAAAGAAGTTCAAGTCTTTTGAGTTCAGACAGAAGACCAAAATCCGCATGGAGGACAGTAATGCTGTCACATGACAACTTTAGAGACTCCAGATTGCATAACCTTCCAATCCACCATGGTGATGGATCCCGTACAAGCTCAGTCGTGTCCACAAAAATTGAGTTCTCTTCAGCCAAACAAAACTCAGGAACTTGTGCAATCTCCAAATTCAACTCAGTCAAATTTATCAGGTTTGAGAGATCCGGAAATATCTTCATCGAATTAGTACCAATATGCAAACTGAGCAGGCTTTCAGGAAGCCTTGGTATGTAACATATTCTAGTGTTTGAAACTTTCAAGATCCTCAAAGATAATAACCTCCCAATATCATCAGGGATTGTCCCCTCCAGACGTCGGCAGAACTCTGCATCTATCTCTTCCAACTTCTCCAACATCCCAATTGCACTGGGTATACTTCTTATGGAACTACCACACATCCTTAGTATTTTCAAGTTCTTCAAGTTCCCAAGTGAATTAGGCAACTCTGCAATAAATGTATGGGACAGATTCAGCATGACTACTGATTCCAAATTCCCAATCGAGTCCGGAATTCTCTTGAGCAACTTACACCCACTCAAAGACAAGTGGACAAGCTTTACAAGCCCTCCTATCTCTGGAGGAAGTTGAGAAATTTCAACATGTTCCAAAGAGAGCCTCAATAGAGAGGTTAAGTTACCAATTGCACTGCAGTTATTAAGTGACAAACATTCACAAGCACTGAGAGTCTCGAGTTTTTCCATCCCTCGTGATCCTGGGATTTCTCTAATAGAAGTGCAGTCAATGAGAAGTTCCTTCAACCATTCTAAGTTGGCCAGCTCTTCCGGCAACTTCCGAAGTTTACGACAGAACCTCAAGTTCAAAAGAACCAACTGCTTCAACTGCCCTATAGATTCATCAATCTCAACTAATCTTCCACAGCTTTCGAGGATCAACTGCTCTAATTTTACATGTGCAGAGAAGTTGGGAGTTCTATGCAATTGTGCACAACCAGACAAATTCAAAACTTTTAAGTTCCTTGCCATCTGTAAAGAGCGAATCGGAAATTAATGATCATGGATTGAATAAAGAGGCTTCAACTGCAAAAACATAGTGGGTTTCACTGAAAATAATAGTACCTCAATATGACTCCAACCTTCCCAACTTTCTGAAAACTTACTCCATGACAGATCAAGAATGACCATGTTCATCATGGAAAAAGCGGTCAGGCTACGTACGGGAGGAAAATTATGCCATGAAAGCCATCTCAGCTCAGATAGGATGGGTGGACTCGTTAGGAGTACATTCGTTGGAAAGCCACTCGGAGGCCAACTATCCAGGACAGGCCTCATTTCTAGGTATCTCAGATTTGATAGCCTCCCTAACTCTTCATTAGGAAAAGACTGCTGCATCCAGTGGTCGAACTTCAGGCAAAGAGCTTCCACTTTTTCGGTTCCCTGTAAGGAAAAAATATAGAGACAAGTAAATAATATATAATAAAAAGAGAGACAAGTAAATGATATTTAAGCTACAAATAATCTCCCGTTCAAACATAAAACAATATAAGCATTACTTACAGATAAATATGTTCCTAGAGCAATTGGTCAACAAGACTTTAGAATAATTCTTCTTATTTTAAGTGAATAATCAATGTGAAAAGGCATGAAATGTGTCAAATTGACGGGGAAAAAATGTGAATACAATTTTACCTTCTTTCTCATCACAATGTCCGAAGCTTCCTCATGATTCCATAATCTGGTCTGTTTCTCTAGTTCCATGTTACATTCCTGGCGAACAATGTCTCTACCGAGGTCTCGTAGCTGATCGTGCATCCATAGCTTATCGTCTTCTCCAATTTTTATCAAAGACATCTGCTGAAGGACTTGAAGACCTTCCCCTGGGAAGAGATTGGAATCGTTCCACATGTGAAGCACAATCCTTTTGTCAAATCCAATGAAAAGACAAGCTATATCAAGAAAAATCTGCTTTTGCCGATCATCCAAAGAGTCGTAACATACTTTTAACTTTCTCTTAACTTCCTCATGAGGAACCTTTTCCAACTTCTTCAATGTAACATCCCAAACATCTTTGGTTTTACCCCATAGTAGTGAACCTATAACCTCCAGAGCAAGAGGAAGACCTCCTGTCATTTTTACCACTTCATTGGAGAAATCAGCATACTCATCCAAAGGATGATCTCTTCCAAAAGCATGTTTGCAAAAAAGTTGAAGAGATTGATTGAAGTCCATTCCCGTAAGCTCATAAGTTAAACAGACCTCAGGCACATTGAAGACATTTGTGTTTCTACTGGTGATAATTATCCTACTTCCTAAACCAAACCACACTGGCCTTCCCATAAGTGCATTCAAATGAATTATTTTATCAACATCATCAAGTAGAACCAGGACCTTTTTGCCACACAACCTTTCTTTTATTGTCTTAATTCCATCATCAACATTACTGATGTTCGACCAGTTTCTTTTGAGGATATCAGAGAGTAGCTGATTCTGCAAACACTCAATGCCCTTTAGCTGTGAAGTTTCTCTGACATTGGAAATAAAGCAACAATCTTCAAAATGATGTGATAGGTGGTTGTATATTATTTTGGCGAGAGTAGTCTTTCCTACACCCCCCATACCATGGATTCCGAGAATTTGTAAGTCCTCTGAATCACCACATACCATTCTAGTGATTTCCTTCACATGATGTTCAATGCCGACCAAGCAATCAGTTACCGGCAAATAAGCCTTTTTCAACTCAGCTATAACCTTCTGGACAATATGGTTTACAAGCTCTCCTTCTCGTCTTATATTGTGAAAGCAAAAAAGCAAAAGAATTAGAAGTATGAAGAAAATGGTACGTTAAACATAACATAGAAGCTATGATGAATCCGAAAGTAGAAACCACAAAACAAGGTACCTTGTGGTCATTGAATCAATGTCCCACCCTTTTAGATCGCCAACCTCCTTGAGAGCAGCCTTCCACTTGCTGATAACCTTATTGTCAAACTGTTTCTCATGCGAAACAAAGGCATCTCCGTAAGACCCAGTTTGATGACGAACCTCAAAGGGTGTAACATTGTAAAAAATGGGCATGATCTTCTGTCTTCTTGATTTCCTACACTCTACCATTTGTACCAACTCATTAAGACACCATTTACTAAGGGCATAGCCCTTGGAAAATATGGGAATTGAAATTTTTGAATTGTTGATCGCTTTGAGTAACGCAGGACCGATCTCCTCTCCAAATCTCAGCTCGTCATCATCTCTATATGTGTGGATTCTGGCAGCTAATAAGCTTGTATAGAGGAAATCGGTAATGCCCGAGCGAGTATCAGGTCCTCTGAAACTCAAGAAAACGTCATAGTCAAATCTAGATGACATGGAGGTTGATGATGAGACACCATCGAGCTGACAAGAATTTTCGTCTCGTGGCATCATCATTTCAGGGATTTCGGCTGAATTATGGATAAGTTCCTTAGAGACTTCTATACTGTCACTGCTAACAGCTGATATGGATGCACATTCCCTACTAGAAGTAATCTCAAAGTTGGTTGCTGTTACAGCTGCTATTCCTTTTTTCCACCCGTGAAATTGAATGCTCTCACCTATTTTTCATGAAACATTATGCCAGAAAGGCCATAAGAGAATGTTGGTCATAGTTGCAAAATAGGCAATATGATGTATACCTACAACCGATTGTTACAGAAATTGGATTATAGGTAGCATTAGCAGGACTTTGCTGTTCAGGAAGAGAATGTTATCAACTCCTATTGCAGAGTTGCACTAGTAATAAGAAATATCTCCCAGGTTCATTGACTTTACTTAACAATAGTTAGTAAGAAACTTTGAAAAAATAATGGGAACCGATGCCATGAATATGATCCAATCATGTAGTCAAGAGGCTCTACAGTCATAGGTCATGGCCCATAATTGCTCAAATCATTTGCTAAATCCCAAATGAGTTTGCCTCCAAAATTTAGAAAATGCCCTCTGTAGATTGCAGATAACCTAGACTCTAAGTTGGACTTGCTGGAGAAAATTTTTGGATCGTAAGGAATCCTGGTACAATTTGATGAAATGTTGCCTGAAGAGTTATGTAACTGATCCAAAGAGTTTTCATCCATTAAAAGCCAAAAAGGAAGGAAGATTCTCTGGTAATTATTATGGAAGCATCGCATGGTAGCACTAACCAGAACAGTGAACTCGTCGAGAAGTGATTTGTTTGCTCCAACTTTGTGTTGTATTCTACCTCTAACTGACTGGTTAACCTTTTTTAAGTGATGATATAGTCGGACAGTGGGATTAAAGATTGACAGAATAAATTTGAGAAATTGCTCAAGTAAAGATAGTTCAGTTGATGTTCATGAGCCAGCATATTTTTAAGGGATAAGTACACTGGAAGTCCAAAAATTGATCAAGAAAATGCAGTTGAGTCATAAAACTTTCAAAAAGTACAATCAAGTCCTAAAACATGTCAAGAAAGTGCAATCAAGTTCTAAAACTTTCGAAAAGTGCAATTAAGCCCTAAAACTTGTCACGAAAGTACAATCGAGTCCTAAAATTCTCAGAAACTGCAATCAACAGATGGACTTGATTGGACCAATTTGAAAAGTTTTATGACTTGTTTGCACTTTTTGAAAGTTTTAGGACTCAATTGCACTTTCGTGACAAGTTTTAGGACTTCCAATGCACTTATCCCTATTTTTATATTAGAAAGTTTCACCAAATTCTCTGGCCAACATGAAACCGATGTGGAACCTTCTACCTCGATTCTAAAGCATGCAGAACAAGCTTCTAGTGAGAATGTGTTACCAGAGTGAACATCTTGAGATAGTTCCAGAGAAGAGACCGGATGCTGTTTGGGGGACTGCAGGGGTTCAACATTCTTTTGGGTAAGCATTGCACTGAAACTTACAAGAGATCCATATTGAGATAGTGAAGAGGAGGCAGAGTCTGAACTTGCAAGAGATTCATTACGAGCTGAATGCACTGGAGCTTCTAACTGGGAGGAAAGTGTCGGCAGCAGAATTGAGGTCGAAAAAGCAGTATTGGACTGGGTTGGCCATTCTTGAACTTCATTCTCTTCGTGACTTGTATTAGCATCTTGAGACCGTTGAACACTGTAAACTGTTTGGTCTTCAACCTGCAGTTCTTGGGCCTCAATCTTCTTGTCTCTTTTTGCTATTTGAATCTCCGCTTGCTGCTCATCACTGGGTGAATCAACAGAAACTAGAGAAGCATTGTATTCTTAAGTTAGAAAGTTTCACCAAATTCTCTGACCAAAATGAAATCGATGTGGAAACTTTTATAATGGTTCTAAAGCATACAGAACAAGCTTCTAGTGAGAATGTGTTACCAGAGTGAACATCTTCAGATACTTCCAGAGAAGAGACCAGCTGTTGTTTGGGGGACTGCAGGGGTCCAATATGTTTTTTGGTAAGCATTGCACTGAAGCTTGCAGGAGATCCATCTCGAGATAGTGAAGTGCAGGCAGAGTCTGAACTTGCAAGAGATCCATCAAGAGCTGAATGCACTGAAGCTTCAAAATGGGAGGAAAGCGTTGGCAACAGAATTGAGGTCAGAAAAGCAGTATTGGACTGGATTGGCCATTCTCGAACTCTATTCTCTTTGTGACTTTTATTAGCATCTTGAGACCGTAGCGCACTGTAAACTACTCGGTCTTCAATCTGCAGTTCTTGGGTCTCAATATTCTTGTCTCCTTTTGCTATTTGAATCTCTGTTTGCTGCTCATCACCAGGTGAATCAACGGAAACTAGAGAAGCAGCGTATTTTTAAGTTAGAAAGTTTCACCAAATTCTCTGACCAAAATGAAATCGATGTGGAAACTTTTAATGTGATTCTAAAGCATACAGAACAAGCTTCTAGTGAGAATGTGTTACCAGAATGAACATCTTCAGACAGTTCCAGAGAAGAGACCAGCTGCTGTTTGGGGGACTGCAGGGGTTCAATATTCTTTTCGGTAAGCATTGCACTGAAGCTTGCAGGAGATTTATTTTGAGATAGTGAAGAGGAGGCAGCGTCTGAACTTGGAAGAGATCCATCGAGAGCTGAATGCACTGGAGCTTCTAACTGGGAGCAAAACGTTGGCAGCAGAATAGAAGTTGGAAAAGCAGTATTGGACTGGATTGGCCATTCTCGAACTTCATTCTCTTCGTGACTTGTATTAACATCTTGAGACTGTAGCGCACTGTGAACTGCTTGGTCTTCAATCTGCAGTTCTTGGGCCTCAATCTTCTTGTCTCTTTTTGCTATTTGAATCTCTGTTTGCTGCTCATCACCGGGTGAATCCACTGAAACTAAAGAAGCAGCGTATTTTTAAGTTAGAAAGTTTCACCAAATTCTCTGACCAATATGAATACGATGTGGAAACTTTTACCATGATTCTAAAGCATACAGAACAAGCTTCTAGTGAGAATGTGTTACCAGAATGAACATCTTCAGATAGTTCCAGAGAAGAGACCAGCTGCTGTTTGGGGGACTGCAGGGGTTCAATATTCTTTTCGATAAGCATTGCACTGAAGCTTGCAGGAGATCCATTTTGAGATAGTGAAGAGAAGGCAGCATCTGAACTTGGAAGAGATCCATCGAGAGCTGAATGCACTGGAGCTTCTAACTGGGAGCAAAACGTTGGTAGCAGAATAGAGGTTGGAAAAGAAGTATTGGACTGGATTGGCCATTCTCGAACTTCGTTCTCTTTGTGACTTGTATTAACATCTTGAGACCGTAGCGCACTGTGAACTGCTTGGTCTTCAATCTGCAGTTCTTGGGCCTCAATCTTCTTGGCTCCTTTATCAAATTGATTCTCTTTATGCTCCTCATCACCGGATGAATCAAGAGAAACTAAAGAAGCAGCAGGATTCATTTCCGAGAAAGTAATCTAATCAAACACGAATAAGCAGAGATGAATTAGTTTCAAGAAAAATAAATCACACTAAAGATGGTTAGTATAACAACGAAGGAATACCGTTGCCCTAAATGCACTGGAATACTGACTTAGGCTATCCCACGGGACATCCATTTGATGAAGCTTAAGCTGCAGAACATTTTCCAATAGATATGCTGTATTAAACATGACACGGAACAGTGTTTCTCCATGTTCACGACCAGCCCTTCGACTCATACACTCAAGCACAACATCGCCTTGAACGGGGCAATGGATGTCCACTGTAACCGGTTTGCGGTCTGCCTGCAATGACATGTATGAACAGCATGATTATGGGCATCAGAATAGCATTAAATCTTTATTTGTGTGTATGGGTGCATGAGTGAGCCCCCACATGCAAATGATATCATAGTGAATCTTATACTCTCAAGGTTTCACACAACAGGATTGGGAGAAAAAGGAAAATAATAATTGACAACTTATCCTTCTGACAATACCACAAATTCCTCATAAGCACATATGCAACTTTATGGCGTAGCATCTTATCTCTTTGATACTCTTGATGATCAAGGAAAACTTACACAATCGACTCCGTATCTGGGTTAGACGCATAGAATTATTTTTCCGAGGTTAAAGTATCAACAATATACGTGGGTAGTCATCAATTTCATCATTTTCTATCTAGAAAATATCACAGTAACAAGACCAGCAAAGTCTGACAAACTCCCAAGGTGACAACTTTTTCTGTAAGGATCCGCCACACTCTTGAGAGCAAGCAGAGTCGTCTCTGACAAACATATGAAATGACATGAATTTAGGGAAAAGAAGCCTTTCTGAACCAGAAATAAATTAAATCCACCTGTTTGTAGTGCCTGATATCTTTGCCCCTTTCAGGTGTTGAGAACAGGACTGTGGGAGGTTTATCTGTAAGGTTACGGGGGTCCTGACCAAATATCTTAAACATAAGAGCCCTAGTTGCTCGGGAAGGGTACCCCACTTTAGCATCCAGCCATGGGATGGAACCCAGTATAACCCTGTCTAAAGTAAGAACCCTATCTGGTTGGCGCCGTTCTGAGTCCACGTTCCGTTTGGATATGTAGCGGAGGTATCTCAGATGTGAGGGCAATGGATTCAAGGGCGAAATCAGATGCAAATCGCGAGGAACTTTCTTGTAAATCAAGCGGAGTGTTTCCTTTTTTCTAGCAAGATTCTTCTGATGCAACAGAAGAGCAGCCAACATGAACGCCAGAACTGTCCATCCACCACCTTCACAATGCACCAACAGCATGTTTTTATGCTCATTGAGCGACAACCATTCATTGGCACATCTTAGGAAGTGATGGATCATCTCCATGGAAAGAATGGGGCAATCACCATGATGAACTGGGTAGCTCATGACAGGCATATGAGACGACAGTTCAGAAATTTGGCTTTGGCTCCCCTGCTCCACAAAATCGAACACCTTGAAAAACGCACCAGGAAAATGTTGTCGCACCTTATCCACTACGCCTAAAACAAAAAATTGATGATCCTCGTACTTCAACCCATCCGCTGTGAGACAGCAATCAATTACTGCATCCACATACAACGAATCATTGCATGTATAACAATGACGTGTA